CTGAAGCCTGCTTCTGTCAATTCATCATACTCATTCTCCATCCAGTTTCATTCCCTTGCTCATCAGGAGTTGTGATTCCTTGGAGAAGAAACATTCTGGTTTTTGGTGATTTCAGCCTTTCTGCACTGGTTTCTTCCCATCTTCATGGATTTATCTACCTTTGGTCTTTGAAGTTGGTGACTTCAAAGGCGTCTCTGAGTGGATGTTCTTTCTGTTGATGTTGAAGCTATTTCTTTCTGTTTTTTAGTTTTCCTTCTAACAGTCAGGCCCCCCTGCTACAGGTCCACTCCAGACCCTGCTTGCCTGGGAATCACCTGCAGGGACTGCAGAACAGCAAGGATTGCTTCCTGTTCCTTCCTCTGGTAGCTTCATCCCAGAAGAGTACTCGCCAGATGTCAGCCAGAGCTCTCCTGTATAAGGTGCCTCTTTAGATATACAGGGGTCAGGGAGCTACTTGAGGAGGCAGCCTGTCCCTCATTAGAGCTCAAGTGCTGTGCTGGGAGCTGTTTCTCCCTTCAGAGCTGCTGGTCAGGGGCATTTAAGTCTGTTGCAGTGGAACTCACAACTGCCCTTTTTCCCAGGTGTTCTGTTCTGGGAAGGTGGGGCTTTATTTATAAGTCCCTGATGGGTTGCTACCTTTTTTCAGAGATGCCCTGCCCAGCAAGGAGGGAGTCTAGTCACAGTCTGCCTGTAGTGGCATTGCTGAGCTGCCTTGGGCTCCACCCTGCTGCTGTGTAAACTTCCTTGTGATTTTGTTTACACAGGCAAGGTTAGAACTGCCTTGGTAATGGCAGAAGCCTGTCCCTCAACCTAGTTTGACCATCCCAGGTTGAGCTCAAACTGCTGTGCTGGCTGCGCAAATCTCAAGTTTCAGTTTGCTGGTCTTTGTTGGGGTGGGACCTGCTGAGCCAGATCACTTGCCTCCCTGCCTTCAGCCCCCTTTTCTCAGGGGAATGGGTGGTTCTGTCTTACAGGCATTCCAGGTATAGGCTAAAATGGCTGCCCAGTTTTGTGCTGGAAACCTGCAGTGCTGTTGTTGTTGGCACCGGCGGGTATCTCCTGGTCTGCGGGCTGTAAAGGCTGTAGGAATAGCACAGTATCTAAGCTGGAGCGCCCAGAAGAGTCCCCGATGGCCTCCCTTGGGTGGGGGGGTTGTTCTCTGGCCCTCTGCCCTTCTCAGGTGAGGCAGCACCCTACCCTGTCTCGGTTTGCCCTCTTGGGTTACATCCACTGTCCAACCAGTCCTATTGAGATGTGCCTGGTACCTTGGTTGGAAATGTGAAGATCTCTCACCTTCTGCATCACTGTCACTGGGAACTGTGCTCCAGAGCTGTTCCTATTCAGCCATCTTGGCGGAAGTCCTCCACATTTTCTTTAATAAGGCTTTTCTCCAGTGTGACCTCATCCACATTATAAAGCTGACATTATAGAGCAGGAAGTATTGCCTAGTGAATTGCAATCTAGTTCTGGATTTGCCATTCTATGAACTAAAAAAATCACTTAATCTCTGATTCAGTTTCCTCATATATAAAATATTACATAATCCTCCTGACATTACTGTCATTAGCATAAAATCAAATATAATGTCTATCAAAACTGTGAATCACTGTAAAAGGCAAATGGAAAGGTGATAAACTCTAGAAATCTTAAGCATTTCATTGTACTTCGTCTATATTTTAACTATAGGTCACTTTAAGTTGCTCTCATGAGCTAAAACATGAATAAAGAAAAAAGAGCTACTTGACTCCATAGTAAGTATCTTTACATATGAAGTTGGCTGATTTTGTTTTTTAATATTTAAAAACATTATTCGAATAAGAGTATTCTTTGGATGTCTTTTTCTGCCAAGTAGTCTAAACTTACATTGTGCAGCCATCATCTATTGCAACAGTGTCTTCATGACATTATGTATCAATAACTTCAGTTATCAGTAACTTGATTTAGTTAACAAAAATAAAACACCTGACCAATTTAATCAAATCAGTCATTTGATATAAACTATCAGTTCTAAAACTTCTGTGGACTATTTCACAAGGCAGAATATCCTGTATATCACGCTGTCATCTTTCTTCTCCCTGCCACTGTGAAAAAACAGCTTACAAGCTACTACTCTTGTTTTTTTTTTGGAGACAGATTCTCACTCTGTCGCTCAGTGGTGCAATCTCAGTTCTCTGCAACCTCCATCTCTCAAGTTGAAGTGATTCTCCTGCCTCAGCTTCCCAACAGGCACCACCATGCCCAGCTAACTGCTGTATTTTTAGTTAAAGATGGGCTTTCACCATGTTGGCCAGGCTGCTCTTGAACTCCTGACCTCATGTGATCCACCCACATCAGCCTCCCAAAGTGCTGAATTTACAGGTGTAAGCCACTCCACTACTTTTGAATTGTGGTAAATTATTCGTAACACAAAATTCATAATGTTGATAATTTTAAGAGACAGGGTGTTGCTCTGTTACCCAGGTTGGAGTGCAGTGGTGCAATCATAGCTCACTATAACTTTGAACTTCTAGGCTCAAGTGATCTTCTAGCCTTAGCCTCCAGGGTGGCTGGGATGACAGGTGTGCAACACACGCCTAACTCTAACATTTTCAAGTTTACAATTCAGTGGTATTAAGCACATTTACAATGTTGTACACCATCATCATTTTTTTATTTTCAGAATTTTTAATCATTCCAAGCTGAAAGTCTATACCTATTAAACATTAACTCCCCTTCCCCCTTTCCCCACATACTCTGATGGTTATTTCACCTTCTGTTTCTATGAATGTGACTACTTTAGATACCTTATATAAATGGAGTCACATTTGTGCTTTTGCATCTGGTTTATCTCACTTAGCATAATGTTTCAAGGTTCATCCATGTTGTGGCATGTATTGGAATTTATTCAAATGAGTTAACTCACGTCCACACAAAAACCTGCACATGAATAGCAGCTTTATTCATAATTGCTAAAATGTGGAAGCAACCAAGACATCCTTCAGAAGAACAGATACACAAACATCTAGATACCTCTAGACAATGAAATATTATTTGGTGCAAAAAATAAGCTTTTTTTTTTTGCACCATTATTTGGTGCAAAGAAAGTCACAAAAAGACATGGAGGAACCTTATATGCATATCACTAACTGGAAAAGGCTCCATACTGTATGATTCCAGTTATATGACATTCTGAGGAGACACTGAAGAGATAGTGATTGCCAGTGGTTTGCGGGGAGTGAGGCACGAACAGGCAGAGCATAAGGGACTGTTAGGATAGTGGGACTGTTCTGCATGGTTCTGTAAGGGCGGGTATGTGTCATCATGCGTTTGTCAAAACCCACCCTAGTCCACCCTACCAAGAGTGAACCCTAATGTCAATTATGGGCTTTGGGTGACAATGATGTATAGATGTTGGCTCATCATCCGTAACAAATGCACGATTCTCATTCAAGATGCTAATGGGAGGGGAGGCAGGAGGCTTATGGTAACTCTACTTCTTGTGTAATTTTGTTGTGAACCTAAAACTGTTCTAAAAAGTAAAGTCTATTAACAAATTTTACTTTTTGTAAATATTATTTTGGCATTGAGCAGATAAATACTTGGTTGGCTATGGAGATTATAGAACAAAAGTAAAAAAAAGAAGAGCAGATAAATACTGAAGCAAAGCTTAACATTTCCAATATGTGTACTGACAGGGAACAAAATGTTGTTTATGTGTTTCAGGCAAAAAAGCAGATCATAAAGTTATATGTGTACCATAATCCCAATCTTGTATAACAAACAAAAGAAACAGATATAAAAAAAATTGGAAGAGATATACATCAAATAACACCAAAAGCACTGATTTTATATACATGGTGGAAGGATTATGGACATTTTCATTTCAATGTTTTAGTTTTTTCCAATTAAATTTCTTGCATGGAAAATAAATGATAGCAAAAAGATCATATAGCTGTTTTACTGTTATTTTTACATCTTGTTAGTGTGTAAGCTTGGTGAGGACAGGAACGATAACTTGCACAGCTCTGTTTCTGCACTAGGGGTATGTATATGTCATACTGGACAGGGCTTTATAATTCTCAGAGTGCTCTCATCTACTGTGTATGGGGCAGGTAATATGGTGGGGCAGGCTGATAATACAGTAGACCCCAATATACCCATAGTGGAATCCCTATAATCTGTGAATAGTAGCATGCATATAGATACATATATAATATATGCAGATTTTAAAGAATAAATAGTACATTTTAAGGCAAAAGATGCCATTAGGTTAAGGATCTTGAAAAGAGTAGAAAGAGCTGTGAAGAGGGAGGATAGAAGGAGCAAAGACCAGGTTCTCGCCCAGATTTCTAGAGGAAATGAGGCCCTGCTCAATTTTGGACTTGTGGTCTCCCCAACTGAAAGAAAATCAATTTCTGCTGATTTAAGTGGCCAAATTTGAGGTAATTAGTTATGGCAGCATCAGAAAAGTAATACAGCAGGCATTCCCATTTTACTAATGGCAAATCTCAGGCCTAATTCTGTGCTTAATAGTCCTACAGCTATTAGGAGGCAGAGAAAGAATTCAAACCCAGATCTTTGATATCTAAGTGCAGAGCAGTATTCTTTATATTGCTCATATATTCTAAAGTATTTATTCAGTTGGGAGGTTAATTCAATCAGCTAAATGAGAAAACTCATATAAAATAATTTTTGTGGGAATTCTGAAAACAAGAATTTGTTGAATCATTTTAAAAAAGTATTGTTTTTAATATTGTTGGCCTGAGTATATGCTCTAAGACAGAAAAAAATCTAAGAAAATGTGGTACCATCTCTGATACGCTTCCAAATCCAAGTGACACGTTTCTATGTCCAATTTCTATTACGTTCTTATTTGTTCATGGAATAATTTCCCTTTGACTTCGCTAATTTGTTTAAAGTCTTGATTTAATTAACTTGACCAAACTAATCTCTTTTTTAACCTTAAGATTCTAAAATCAGTTAGAGATGCCCAACAACTTAAAAGATAACTTGCTCTTTACCTGGAATAAATGAATATTTTGCTCGAAATCCCAGTCCTTCAAGCTCTTCATCAGAACTAAACTTAATCCACATGAATCTCCCTGTTGATCTAATTAATGGAGGGCTTTTCACACCACAGTAACGATCTATAAGCGGAGAGAAACCAAATGGCCCATCTCGAACTTCCAAGTGATCAAAGCGACACTCAAATGATGGCTCTATATAATAACGTTCATCAAAGGTCAACTCTATTCTTTGACGTGGAGCAGCTAGAAAATAAGAGTAAGCAAATCAGGGCAACACAAACAAGAAGGAATATAAATGTATTGACACAAATGAGGAAAGCAAAGCAACTGTTCTGCTAACTGCTTCATAGACAAAGGTCTTAGTGACAACTGCTATAAAAGTCATGATAAAGTTGTAACTTAAATTAAAAACAATGCTACTCTGTAGAACTATAGTAATCTTTTCCTTTAGCTATGGTATCTACTAAGTTAAATCTTCTTGAGTGATGCCACTGCGTACTTAGTTCAAGATATAATGTACCACAATACATAGAAAAATAAACAGAAGAAATGAAAGGAACTCACTTATGTGGACATAAATTTGAATTAAGCCTTACAAGGGATGCCAGTAAGTTTAAGTTTCTTATCAGAGAAATTTTTCATATATACTAATGTACCTAGTTGAATTATAGTTTGGGAGATTCAAACTTTCCATAACATTTCTGCTAGTATCTTGTAATGTATTCAATATGCAGAAATACTTATCATTACTACAGTTTAATTCAAATACATGTTCAAATTTTGTTCAAATTGGTTTACATAGGTCATTTTACCAACACATTTAGTTTTACAAGAAAGTAAAAATTCATCCAATAAAAGAAATTGGTCCAATACCTTCCAAAATGTAGATACACTCCTTGTTTGGTGGATATGAGTCAGGATAATTTGGTGAAGCAAAATGACCTCCATTGCTGGTTCGAACCCAGATGCCACATTGGGTTGCAGGAACATGCTTGATTCCAATATTTTGTCCATCTTGGGGAAAAACGGCATTTAAAACACTCATTACAGCAAAAGATAATCATTCTTCTCTTTTCCCTACCACTTTCCAAACAATTCCTCACTCTATGCTACATATATAAATTTCTATAAGAACCACTGTCAAATTTAGTATAACAAATTGAGTACAGAAGTGAAAGAGAGGGAGGGAAAACTTGCCAGGAGAGGACAAGTTTGCCATGTAAGAGAAAATGGAAATAAAGGGCTTATATGCACATAACAAAGGGCAAAACCATATAGGAGAGTCTGCTAAGTCAGTAAGATGCAATACAATTCAGTTCTAACTAAAAATAAAAATAAAGGCATCCCAAGATTTGATCTCTGATATGGGGCCCTCATACTTAGTTTTATACAATAGTGAAAGAAGATTCCAAGGTTACAGAGGGATTTTAGTTGAAGATTGTAGACTAAACATATGCATTTAGCTCTGCTCCCTCCTCAAACTCCACTTAAACAACAATAAAAGGATTTTTAAAAGGGTATAAACCCTTAAGTACAGAGGGGTAGATATAGCAGCAACAACTGAAGGTACCAGGAAGTGGGGTGGGGGTGGTGTGTAGGCTAGGTAAAAGTCTGTTTAGAATGAATTGGGTTTTCAGTACCCTTTCCTACTCCACAAATCTAGCTTAGCTGCTGCTCTTCAACCACATCAGAACACTAGAGGTGATTTCTTTGGAGAAGGTAAAACAACAGGGACTAGGGGACACAGGCACAGCTGAGAAGAAAAATAAGGACATGAGTGAATATTAGCACATGTCCCAGCCTTCGTTTCCTGCTGAACTCCCCACAAAGGCCTCCTGGTCAGATATTGAGCCTTTAAGCAGGAAAAGAGAAGATTCTTTTCTGGGAATCTAAACAGCCCTAGGAAAGACCTGATGCGGACACAGGAAGGAGTTCCCCAATGTCAGGTGTGTCAACAGTGAGGGCCAGTGATCAATCCCTGCACACACCTGCAGACAGCTAACAATCAGTTTTTAGTACCCCTCTTAAAATATGAGCCTTCAAGGATCACCAGACATTGGAGGAACGCCTCTAATATAAAAAACAAAAGAAAAGCAACTCTGAGGAGATAAAGACTACATAAGAAAAATATTTAAAAACCACCACTACCACAAAACGATCATTTAATATTCTGAGAAAGAAAAGCAAGTAAATCCATAAGACAAGAACAAAGATAGTCAACAAACAGAAATTATACTCAGAAAAACAGAACCAAAAAAAGCTTCTAAAAATAGAAGAAATGAAAAAATTAGCAGAACATTTAGAGAAGAGTTCGGCAAACTATGACCCTGAGTTAGACATGACCTGGAGCCTGCTGTAAATAAAGCATTACTGGAATATACCCAGGCCCATTATTTGTACGCTTTTGTTCCTGGACAGAAGAGTCAAGGAGTCAGAGGAGTTGCTCCAGAGACTGTAAGGCTTACAACACCTTAAATACTTATGATCTGACCCTTTACAGAAGAAGTGTTCTAATTCCTGGTTTAGAGGTAAAGTTGAAGAAGTCTCAGAAAATAGTGGAACAAAGAGAGAGACAAAAACCAAGAGGGCCATAACCAAGTAAAATAATAGGAATTCCTGAAAAGACAGAAAATTGAGGAAAGGGGATTTTAAAAAATTAAAGCGGAAAGACAAAACTCAACTGAATGAGTAACTTAATGTAAATCCTGAGTACTGAGTTAACCAGAATTACGACAGAACTGTACTGAGAAGGGTGGTACAAATGAAAGGAATGACAACACTCAGATACGGATAGGGTAGACAACAGGTGTGTGAAAGTGCTAAATTCTCATTTTCCACAGTGAAAAATCAGTATCTAATGTCTAAAACTGAAATAACCAACAAGTAGCAATACAGCATGTTATTCAGAGAAAGGAAGAGAAACACGAAAAGAATCAGCTAAGAGTGATTATTTCCATGGGGCAGGAAGTTAAATAGGGCAAGATGGGGAACTGATTTTTCCTAATTAACTTTTAGAAATGCTTTGATTTTTATCATATGTATGTATTACTTAGATGAAAATAAAAAACAAACAAGGTTATACTGAAAATGTACTAAATTTAGACATAAAAATCTGGTTCCAAAAAAAATCACACTAGCTAATCATGTATCATAAATCAAGAAAAAAGAACAGGACCAAGCTTTGAATAAAACATTAATTGAAGTGTTTCATTTGTTTAAATTAGAAAAAGGGACTTTTATCTTTGCTTAGTGATAAAGTATAAATCTCATTTAATTTTTGGATATAATCCACAGTATGCTAGGAGCTACTAGTGATGTCAGTTTTTAAAATTTATCAGGGCAAGACTTTATGCTGACAATTTACTCTAGTTAACTGCATGCAGCTGAATCCAGTTAAACTGAGGCTGTTGGGTTGACAGAAAGCCTTAGGTCACTGGAATACCCCAAAGGGATTATGGAAATAGTACTCAAAGTTGCAATCCTTTCAAGTAAGCCAGTCCATTGTCTTAAACATGCAGTAAGTCACCAATGTCAGTACTTTACCTTGGGTTTTTTGGGCCACAGCAATCCCTTCCACTACCAGTACTGTTATTAACAACACTAAAGAAATAACAGAGAAGAAAAGTTACAATTAAATCTATACTGCATTTTACTAAATCAATAAAGAAAATCGGATGACAAAAAAAGATGAACTAAAATCACTATTTATTACTAAAATTCACTCACAAGATCTTTAAGCATTAAATGTTATGCTCTGATTTGCAACCTAACCCTTAAGATAACCCAGGAAAAGACAAGTGCTTTTGTACTCATTTATACACACATTTAATAACACATGGCATTTAAAGCACTTTTCAACTTAATAGTTTATAAAAAAAAAAAAAAAAAACCCTTGTTTTTTGCAACAGACCTTGCTCATCCTAACTATTCCTCTATTTACTGTAGTCCATCTCAGAGTTTACATGTAGTATAGCTGGCTCTGCAATGTGCTATGGCAGTGAAGTTCAATTAGATTATCTGCTTTCTGAGAACATTCATAATCAAGACAGAAGTAAGGGGGCAGCAGTCTCCTAGAAATCAATTCAAACTGTTTTACGGTTGTGCAATACTATGCTGTGTTCTGTGTTACAAAGGCTAGCCATATTTAGACACTAAAGCCTTTTCCCATGTTGAATATTTCTGAGACCCAATCAACAACATATTGAATTGTTTTGTATATGTGGTTTGAAGACTTAAACATTTTTACGGATGGTGCACTCTCCCTTTCAATGGAAACCATACTGCCAGCATGTCCTGAATTACTGCATGAACTGGAGTTATTCATTCAGTGAATAGGCACTTACAGAGTATCCACTGAAAAGCGGGCACTAAGGATGCACAGGAAAGAGAAATAGAGCAAAGTGGTTAAGAGTGTGGACTTAAGGAGTTACATGAATCTAGGTTAGGGTTCAAGTTTTGCCTTGTACCAGCTGTGAGGCCTTTTCAGCTCAGTTTACTTATTTTTAAAATGGAGATGATATAAACATGGGCCAACCTCATTGGTGGCTGTGAAGATTAAATGAGATGATGTGCATAGTACTTTTACGTGACAGGCATTCTGCTAAATAAATGATGGATATTAGGACAAACCAGCATCCACAAGGAATCAATGTATTGCTGAATCTACAAAACAAGGTGAAATGGAGTTTAACAGGAGATATGCAGAAGGCATAATGGAAACAGAAGGTCCATTCTGCTGGGGGTTAAAGGAAATAGAATGAGAAAAACTCCTACAAGAGAAGGCATAATCTGGTTGGACCTTATAGGACTTGAGCCCAGGAGAAGGAGAAAGAAATATTTTAAATAAGAACATGGAAGGCCAGGGACGGTGACTCATGCCTGTAAATCTCAACCCCTTGGGAGGCTGAGGCAAGAGGATGGCTTGAGCCCAGAAGTTCCAGACCAGCCTGAACAAAATAGTGAGGCCCTGTCTCTGTGAAAAAAAATTAGCCAGTGGCACATGCCTATAGTCCCAGCCACTTGGGAGGCTGAGGCAGGAGGATCACTTGTGACCAGGAGTTAGAGGCTGCAGTGAGCCATGATTGTGCCACTGCACTACCAACTGGGTGAAAGAGACCATGCCTCAAAAAAAACAAAATAACAATAATATAAAAAGACGAAGGCATGAGCTCTAACTTACAGCAGGTTTTAGGGAACTCTGAGTAATATGGTGTGATTAGCATGTGGAAGGCTACAGTGGTATAGTAGGTTAGAGAAAAGTTGGATGAGATCCGATTTTAACAAGTTTTGAATGGCATGCTAAAAAGTTTGGACTTCTAACTATATAATAAGAAGCCCTTGTAGTTTTTAAACAAGCGTATGGCATTATCACTTCTGCGTTTTAGACCAATAATCCTAATGGTTGTGTGGTGTCTACACTTTTAACAAGAAGATAGAAGATCATTAGGAAGTAAAGGTGATCATGTTTGCATTATCATCTTTGAAGCAGAGCAGTGGCAGTGGCAAGGGAAAGGAGGAGGGATTAATGACATGGTTCAGATTTAGAGTCAAGTGCAACTTACAGGATGTGAGGGGTGAGGGAGATGAGGCACTGGAGTCTGCTAGTGCAAGTGGCTGGTAGAGTCACCACTGTTCACTCAATAGCATGTTCTGGGTGTCTACCACCAAAGTCACCAATATAGAAGTGCTAAGAGGTAGTTCTTGCTATTCAGTTCACATCTTAAAATCTAATTATTTGACATCTTCATCTTTTGTTTCTTGCATCCTTGCTGACCTCTGTGTCTCCTCTGTCTTTTCTTAATAACATTAATTTCCCCCTTTGCTTTCTTTGGTTGATAGTAGTGTTGAAGATCTCGTGTTATGCTGAGATCTTTAATTCTTCCCATCTTTACACTGGATCTGATTAGAAGAATGGAGTTTTGAAACTTTTTTTTAAAAAAACAGATTTATGATCAAAAACAAAAGTCAGATAATAGTACATATTTGGTAATTCAGCAAATAACCCAACCATTTTAATAAATTTATCTCACTAGAAGACACTATCTCCCAGGCATATCATTCAAATCATACACAATTGGTCAATATTTTGTGCTCAGTATACTGTTCCTCCTTAATCATAGATGTAACCATTTATTAGTTTTGACATTTACAAATCCATTTATAAGCAAGTAACCATAAAAAGCCAGCAGACAAGGAACCTAAGAAGCCAATAAACAAACCAAAACAGCAACAGTACAACTAAGGCAAAGGGATGAACTGTGCCAGCACAATTATGATATACAATGACCGATAAAAACGTGCCTGTGTAAAATAATTACTTTATGAAATTTGCATAGAATACACAAGTAAGGTAGATCATATTGAAAATAAAGTTGCAATGCCAAATAGCCTATTATACTCTTTTCAACTTTACTTAGAGGGCTGTGCAGAGTTTTCTTTTTTTCTCAAGTAATTACTAGCTATTCACAACTCAATCGACCAAATGAGCTGTGCCACTAAATATAAAAATGACGTATAAAGAATAGGGCAAATCTGCACAGCAATTAGGAATAGAAAGATTCACTGATACAGTTTTTGGTAATACAGTTGTACTATTAATCCATTGTAAATTCTGTATCATTATAAACACAGTTTCCCGAGTTGTATAACAAGATCTTTGTACACTGCTTGAGTTATAATCAGACTGAGATATTAAAACAAATTCCATTAATGCTAAACCCTGCAATTATTTAGCACATGAAGCAGTTCTGTGGTTCTTTGTTCTGTCTTTATTCTCAATCTAGGTGTCACTGTTCCCTCTTACTAAAAGGATCAATAATTTCTGAAATCCAGGAGTGCCTCATACTTTGAATTCAAAGATAACGTAAACAGGAAGGCACTAATTCTATAAGGCAGAAATCTACACAAAAATAAAAATTCTAAACTCTATAACCAGGCAATTTGATTGTACAGAGAACTACCTGTGATTTGATGCTTGAGAAAGGCAGTGCCCACCAGCATTTATGACGTTACTCCTGGTTCTAGAGTTGAATTTAGTCTTATAATAACCCGTGTACAGATCTGACCTAAAATGAAGTCACTCAAATGATAAAGATAGGTGCTATTCAGGCTGCTGAACAATCCTCAAAGCCACTCCCTTTATTCCTTTTTTTTTTTAAACCATGAATCACTGTCATTTTAGCTCTAAACAGAGAATCCTGTTCCCAGGCTTTCCATTTTAAAGGCCTATTTTCCACTGTAAAAAAAAAACAAAAAACAAAACAAAGTCACATTTATTCTTTTCACTGTTAAGTAACAGTGGCAATTCTAGCTAATGCAATAAATGCTGGAAAGAAGATGAAATTATTATTTATAGATAATGTTACTGAAAACCTAGAAACTTCAAGAGAATTACTTGAAAAATTATTATACCTATTAAGAAAGGAAAACTAAAATAAATTAAATAAACAATAAATATACTGAATAAAATGGAGCAGTAACATGTTTCTTAGTAAAATAATGCTGCAAAGATAATGAGTCTTTCCAATAGGCCATACATTTAATATTTTAATCAAACTCTTAGTGAGTCCTGTTTTTGGACTTAACAAAAGGTTTTTGATGCTCATCTTGAATACTTGCCAAAGAAAATTTAGAAATAACATAAAATACATAAAAACAATATATGATATACTTATTGTAAAGCTACAGTAATTAAAAAATGTGGCAACAACATAGGAAGAAACAGATGATCTGTTCAACATATGCAGCAGCCCACTCTCTAACAGGTAGTGAGTCACCTCCTGGGGGCAATGAACCAAACATACATGGTCCTTATTCTCCAGGACCTTATAGATAAGGAAATGAAAAAACAATTAAGTGCTCAGAAATAGACATACATATCCAAGAACTAATTTTTATTGATCGATTAAGACAGAGTCTCACTCTGTTGCCCAGGCTGGAGTGCAGTAGTGTGATTTTGGTTTACTTAACCTCTGCCTCTGGGTTCAACAATTCTCATGCCTCAGTCTCCCGAGTAGCTGGGACTACAGGCATGTGCCACCATGGCCAGCTCATTTCTTCTATTTTAGTAGAGATGGAGTTGCACTATGTTGGCCAGGCTGGTCTCAAACTCCTGGCCTCAAGTGATCTGCCTGCCTCAGCCTCCCAAAGTGCTGGGATTACAGGAGTGACCTACCACATCCAGCCCCAATAATTTAGAAAGAATAAATTTAATAAATGGTTCTGGGATAATATATTAATTCTTTGAAAAAAACATATTTCTCCTTCAAGCTAAAAACTAAATAATAAATACTAGATTGGAAAAAAATTTGAATTATGTATGTACGCTGGGGTGAAGAGCACCTTCCTTTACTAATGACAGAAAGATAAATAAAAACTATTAATAACTTGGGGGGAAAAAGATTAGGCCATCATAAAAATGTGCCAAAACCCAAAAAATTCAGCCTTACAAACATACATACATACATATGTGCAGATTCTAGTGTTGGTCAGCCTATAGGAAACTGACACACTCATATAATGTCATCAGACTGGAAACTGGTACAACTTTTTGGAGGTTAATCTGGTAGTATACATTAAGGCTCAAAAATGTGCAAATCCCA